TGACAGTTTCCATAGTGGCTTAGGAATCAAATTGGATGACTATACATGCATTATTTGAACACATAGGCTGAGTTGCACCACCTAACTTTGACGGTAACTATGACGATAACCGGTGCTTTTTGTATGGGGTTTGACAGATTTTTAACGTTTGTCAAAGTTAAAGTAAGATGGTGCAACCCAGCCTAATTGTTGCATTGCTAACTAAATACCTAATTCCCACCATTCCTGTGGCAATGCCTGCTGTTTGCGGTGAGACCAGCCTCTGACATCTCGCGCAATGTGACCACAAACGCCGGCCTGGCGCGGACGGCCGCGGGAAGTAATTAATCAGCCTTTGTGCTCGCACATTGCGATAATACATAATTAACAAGCATTTTGGACTGCGATGTTTGATGTCCAAAAATTTTGAAAGCGCTAGTTGGCCGAAAATATATCGCAGAATCAACAGAATAGTACAAAAGTAACGGATTCTTCAGACTGCTTGATGGACCGACTATCTCAAGAAGATGCTAGATTTTATTTTTGAGAAAAAGGCGGAGATCGTGCTTTGCAGCGCTCTTTGAAAGAGGCATACGTCAGAGGTAACTAATCTAGATTTTTGTCTAATCATCAAAGGAAATTCAAATATGGCACAAGACATCACACGCATTTGAAAACATGCAATTATACCTTCGTTTTTAGCTTTATGCAAAAGCGAAAGTAAAGTAAGTGTTTAATACCATAAAGTAATAAAAAAGAAGAAAGTGTCATGTCATCAACAGTGTCACGGGAGAATTGTTTTTCGTGAAACTAAATCAAAATAAAGGATATTTTATCATCAAATACATTGTTGGACTTTATTCATGGTCCTTCGAGCCGNTGTATTTCAGCTATTTGAGTGCCCCTTTAATCGTGTACAAACTGACGTCCGATATAATATCTTCGGTATAGTGTCAGGTCAATCTAGCTCTTGGGTTTTACAATATTTGTTTTGTTTAAGGTTAAGAATAAATAAACAAAGATACCCTGTGTTATGTATTTATTTGTTTTATTTAAATACAATTAAAATAATATATAAAAATTAAGAATTTATTATAGTTCCTTATTAAAAAATTAAACATATTGATTAGGATTTTTGTTTTATTTCATTGGTATTTCAGACACATAAACCTAAAATGGACCATCTAACTAATAGACCAGCAATCAGATATCAAAACGTTTTAAGTATTTATTATATTAATTATTGAAATACATTACGTATTTCTTCATAATGTCATCAATTCTAAGTTTGCGGAGCGATTTTTATATTTGGAGATTCATTTCTCAATTCCGTGATTCATTTTCTCAATTCGGTGCTCTCTCAATTCGATGCTTAACATTTCTCATAAACCACTTCACAATATTTAGTGACAATGCTATTTTTACATTCAGAATGGAGTAACGTTTCTTTTTCTGTATTGAAACTACTTAAAAAACTAAATATAAATTTTAGCACCGAATTGAGAAAAAATACACCGTACAGTAGAAATGCCCATATGTCTATCTAATGGCGTGTCCAGGCTGGGTGAACGGGCTCGCGCGGCAAACTCAATATCTTGCTCACTCAAGAGCAGGGTGAGCAGGATGACCAGCGTGCTGCGCGAGCCCGTGCGTCTAGTCTGGACGCACCATAATGCAAACCTTAACCCTTTCACGCATATGGGACACATTTGTCCCCGCATAGTTTTTACAATTTACAGTAATACTAGTTAAGTTAAACCCTTTGTTTTTTTTTTGTATATTCTTAAATTTTATTATTATCTTTTATGTTTATGCGCTATAAATAATAAAAAACGCGATTCTTTGTGTAAAAAAAGACTGGCACAAAACGTGAAAATAAAATTCGTTAGACGTCAAAATTAAAAAATATTTTAATATTACTTAGCAGCTTTTTGGCCATTATTTTTCTTCCGATTTACATTCACTAATAAGTATAATTATCGTTTTATTACTTATTTTCGATTTTCTTCGTATGCATAATGAATATTATGGAAAAATATGTATTGGGACACGGGTGTCCCTATGTGCGTCAAAGGCAACTTGGTTCTTACTAAGGATATTGTTTGCCTCATTATAATTTGTATGTTTATATTGATGTTTTATTTATAATTCATAAATTTTTTTTGTAAATCATTTGCCATCAAAGCGACTTGAAGAAATTTCACTCAGGAAAGACGAAATTTAGAAGTCATGATGACTGACAATAGTGACAACGAAGATGGTTTTCTCTTTGATGAAAGGGTGTCTACTTTTGGACAGAGGCTTCCCTGATGATTTCCACAATAATCGTTCCTGTGCTGCTCGTATACATGAATGTATATGAGCAGCACAGGAACATGAGGCCTGACACACTGCGTCTTCCTATCCATAGGCGACACTCGAGAATTTTTCTGCCCAAACGGCCATCACTTCTGCTGGCTATGTGCCCTGCCCATTACCGCGAAAGTGTGGCAATGATGCGGGCTATGTCTGTTACTTTGAGTCTCCTTCGGACTTCCTCATCACCCTTTGGGTGGCTTTGAGCCTTCTCATAAGGTTCATAGTGAAGGAACACGGCTCCGTTCCGTGCGTCATCGCCGCCAAGCCAACACACATTGGTCAAAGACTTTTAGTCAAAGGTTTTGAGATACTGCGGTATTTTGGATAAGAAGAAGTCGCGAAGCCTCTCGGATGCTGTCCCCCCAAGTAAGATTCAACGATTGTAGTCACGGCACGGCTGAGACCTTGGGAGACCTAGAATCAATGTTCTATAGCCTCAGTAGAGGCTCTCAATAAATGGGATTCAAATCAAAATAAACATGGACAAGACGATAAAAATATGTCAAATATCCGTGTTACACGCACTCCTCTGAACGATGGAGACTCTACACTCAAAGTTGTTCTTGAAACAAACAGTCTAATTAGGTACGTCTAACTTCAAGAAAGAGGTCTATGATGAGATGAGGACCAAACATAAAAATACGTAAGATATGATGCTATCTATTTTAAATTTCTTATTATAAATATTAAAAATAAGCTTATTGATTAAATTTGATGTGTAGTTTTAGTGTGATTTGTATTTATTTTGCAATAAAAGCGTCGAAGTATTCTATTTTCAATATATGAGGCAATGTTTACCTTAACGCATATAGGGACATATGTGTCCCCGACTGAAAAACACTGAAATACATAGCACTTATATTTTCTGTACTACTTTTATGTTAAATTAGACTAAAACAAATAGATATAACTAAAGAAAAAATAATTTTATGGTTTGGAATAGTTATAAGCGTGTAAGGGTTAAAAGATTGAATTTAATATCTCTTTATTTAGGTGGCAATAGTATTTTTTTTCCTGAAATCGCTTTTATGCAGTCTTGCTTTTCTCTGTGAAGTGAACTGAAACTATTGCGAATGTGACTTAGGCTGAGTTGCACCACCTAACTTGGTCAGTAACTTTAACGATAACCGGTGTTTTTGTATGCAGTTTGACAAATTCTTGACGTTTGTTCTAGTTAAAGTAAGATGTTGTAACCCAGCCTTAATCTAGGACAGTTTAATCGCTAGTCTTAATAATAATTTTATCGAGCGTTTAAAAAAACGCCTTACCTGCAACTCTTGTAGGCAGTACGGCTTTATTCGGAACAACCTATTCACTTAGCAACTGTAATTCACACATACTTGATGGCAAAGTTTTCACCGATGATTTATTAGGCCACATTGCTGTGTGCGACATATTATTGGGCTGAGTTTGTATCTTTGTAATTACTAATAACAGGGTGCGGGAACAGGTATTTCATTTGAATGTTGTTTGAATACACACTAAGGCTGGGTTGCACCATTTTACTTTAACATTAATAAACGTCAAGTCTGTTAATCAAATCAAATAAAATCAATAAATTTATTTCAGACACTACAGTCTATACAATAAGGAGAAATATTTAAAAGCCAAAACAAAAAAAGAACTATCAATTTTACACCATGCTGCCGAACCCACTGTGTGATAAATGAACAGTCTACTCGGTTAGCTACAACGCGCAGAATGTCGTTGGAGCTCCCACGCACACGGCTCAGCATAGGGGCTGCCCTTTTCCGCAGGATGGCATAGAAGCCATCAGTGTACCTACCATGAGTTTACGTTAGGTGTGCTCGCTAGCGAAAACGTCAAAAATCTCTATGGAGATTTTGTTTCTTGAAAGTAGCCGCTAGGGGCGCTGCACAATATGTCATACAATTAGGTGTCATTTTTTTACGCAGTCGCTAGCGAGCACACGTAACGTAAACTCATGGTAAGCACACTGTATGTGCTTCGGCAAACATGCCTGACGCACTTCAGTAGGTACCGTGGCAGCCCCAGCAACATCCTGAACGCGTTATTATACTGTACACGCAGGGCGTTGATGGTCTTCAGCGTATAGCTCTATACAAAAACACCAGCAGTGCGATTCTATAAAACCGCGGTGAGTTCTTTGATTAGCATTCTAAAAACTCTATCGTCGATACGAATTTACTCTAGCGCTCACTTGTGAGCGCGGCAGCGAGTTGAACTAATTGACCGTGAAATTTTGTATGGGATGACGTTTTGACGTATTCACAAACGATGCTTGCTTAAGTGAAGCAGCAAATCAAACGCACGGCGTTGAATAGAGCTCTGTGATTGGATCGCGTATCACCCTGTGCGTCCACGCGCACTGTGAGACCTCATGGTAATGTTTGTGAATACGGACGTAAGTAGTTTTATATGGATCACGTTAATAAAGGTGATTTTGCAATAACATGTAAATGTAATTTCCGTATTGTCTTTTTAATTTATTACTTTTAACAGCACTTTCTTATCATATTATCACAATTGTTTAATACCATAAAGTAATAAAAAGAAGAATTTGTCATGTCATCAACAGTGTCACGGGAGAATTGTTTTTTGTGAAACTAAATCAAAATAAAGGATATTTTATCATCAAATACATTGTTGGACTTTATTCATGGTCATTCGAGCCGATAATGATGAAGAAACTAGTGAGAAGTCAAAACGAAATCTTCAACCGAATTAACAAATCCAAAATAAATTTTGCCAAGTCTCCAAGTGTCAGAATAACAACTAGTTACATCGAAACAAAATTAGAAAATTTATCGGAATTGTGGCAAAATTTCAACAAAACTCACGATATAATTATTTGTGAAGTAAGCGATGCAGAGTACCAAGAATCGGAATATTTCACCGAAGACTTTTTCAGCAAGACCGAGGAATTATACACCGAATATAAGACCGAACTAAAAGAAAAATTGAAAAGGTGCATTCAGGTAGAAGTCAGACATCAGGAAACATCACAAAGTGAGGGGGAGCAAGTCAGAGTGCAGCTGCCCAAGATCTCCATACCCTGCTTTTCTGGGAAATATGCCGAATGGATCACATTTCGAGATCTTTTCTTGTCACTTGTCCACAACAACAGCTCCTTACAAAAGGTACAGAAACTTCATTACCTGAAAAGCTACCTAACTGGTGAAGCGGAACAGTTGGTGCGTCATCTACCAATTACAAGCGACAATTATTCTGTGTGTTGGAGCCTTTTGGAAAGTAGATTTAACAATAAGAAGTATGTAACTAATTGCATTTTAAAAAGGTTTTTCAGTCAAAAGAATATTGCTCATGAAAATTCAACTGCGCTTAAAGATCTGTTTGATACTACAAATGAATGTCTAAATGCATTAGCTAACACAGGTGTGAAAACTGAAAATTGGGACATCATTCTTATTTATATTTTGTCTTCAAAATTAGATAATGAATCTCGCAAACTGTGGGAAGCAAAAATTTGTGACCTTACCAATGATTTACCAACATTAAAGCAATTTTTAGATTTCATAGAACATCGCTTTAGGTCTCTCGAATTTTTGGATCCCAAAGTTATGAAAAGTACCCAGTCCCATCATGTAGTAGAGAACAGCCCTAGCAAAATATCGGTTTCTTGTTCATATTGTTCTGACAACAATCATAAACTTGGCAATTGTAAGAAATTCGCAAATGAAACACTATCAGCTCGCCGTAACTTTGTCCAAACCAACAATTTTTGTTTTAACTGCTTAGGCGCGAATCATTCGGTTATGACTTGTCGTTTGCCTACTAGATGTAGAATCTGCAATAAGAAGCATCACTCTTTATTGCATTCAACCAATAACAACGTACCATCCAACAATGTTCAAACAACACAATCAATTAACCCATCAAGAACCAATCATGTCGTTGCGACAACAGCAACAACATCTGATGACATTGACCAGCAAACCAACATTACCACTTGTTTCTCTAACAACAAGAGTCAAGTTCTTTTAGCAACCGCGTTGGTAAAAGCTGAAACAAACAATGGATCGTTCATAACACTTAGGTCTTTATTGGACCAGGGATCACAGGCCTCGTTCGTGACGGAGTCTGCAGTCCAATTACTTGGGCTGAAGAAAGTAGCAAGCAGAAGTGTTATAACTGGGGTAGGGAGTGATTGTAACTCATCAGTCAACTCTAAACATGTAGTTAACATCAAACTGCAATCAATCTACGATCCGAACTTCACAATTAGGGTGAAAGCTCACGTTCTTACCAAACTTACCACATTTCTTCCTGAACGACAGGTTGATTTGAAACTTTGGTCACACATGCCTGAAATGAAGTTGGCTGATCCAAAGTTTAACGTTCCAAACAAAATAGACTTGCTGTTAGGTGCAGAGGTGTACTGTCAGATATTATCTGAGGGACTAGTTAAGGGTCCAATAGGGTGTCCTATAGCTCAAAACACCAGACTCGGCTGGATATTATCTGGTCAAGTATCTGAAGACAGGAAAACTGAACAAAGCTGTAGAAACATCATAACAACATTACACACTCAAGTTGTCGAAGAAGAGTTTGATCTTAAACGCTTTTGGGAAATAGAATCGGATCAGTGTCTTCTCGATAAACGTCACCACACACCTGAAGAACAAAAATGCGAAGAATTTTTCAAACAAACAACCACAAGAGACCCTTCTGGACGTTATATTGTGAAACTGCCATTTAAAGAAGAAAATCCAAACTGTAAATCAGGCAATTCGCGAGAAATTGCAGTAAGCAGATTTTTAATGCAAGAAAGACGATTAGCAAAATCACCAAATCTCAAGGATCTCTATTCCGATGTTATTGCAGAGTATCTGGAGCTGGGTCACATGGAAAAAGTATCAAACGACGAGATCAACAAAACAGAAAGTGTGTACTTACCTCATCACGCAGTAGTGAAGCTCAATAGAACAACAACCAAACTGAGAGTGGTTTTTGACGCTTCATGTCGAGACAAGAACGGTGTATCTCTCAACAGCGAATTGTTGGTAGGCCCAAGGCTTCAATCGGATCTTCGTCATTTGGCGATGAGGTGGAGACTGCATCCTATTTGCTTGGTGGCTGATATAGTCAAAATGTATCGCCAAATAAAAGTAGCTAACGAAGATGTAGATTATCAACGATTAGTCTGGCGATCCAAGCCGCAAGAAGATATCGAACATCTGCGATTGTTGCGAGTCACCTTTGGCACTGCCTCAGCCCCATATCTTGCAGTCAGAGCACTGCATCAAGTCGCGTATGATGAAGGTAAACAGTTTCCATTGGCAGCTGAAAGAGTCCTAAATGATTTTTATGTGGATGATCTACTTACTGGATGTGACACAGTTCTGGAAGGAAAACAAATATTTCAACAAATGAATGAGTTACTAAGCAAAGGGGGATTTGAACTTCAAAAATGGTCAAGCAATAATGAAACACTGTTGAACGAAATAAGCAAGGATTCAGAAAAAACAACAAGCAATTTGGAACTCAAAGTAGATGAAATTATCAAAATTCTTGGACTTACCTGGAACCGACGAACTGACGTCTTCGAATACTCCGTGCAGCTACCACCTATCAGTGAACCTGTAACAAAGAGAAAAGTTATTTCAGATATTTCAAAGTTGTATGACCCTTTGGGATGGCTTGCTCCAGTCATCGTAAAAGCAAAAATGTTCATACAAAAGCTATGGTTAGCAGGAATCGGTTGGGATGAGGAGTTACCAGCAAAGCTTTTTAAAGATTGGAGTACTTACCGAGGTGAACTTACTGCACTTACTCAATTTCGTCTGCCGCGCTGGATTGGTACGAATTCAAAGTGTATCACAGTTGAGTTACACGGCTTCAGCGACGCTTCGTCTGATGCATATGCTGCTGTAGTCTATGCGCGCGTGGTAGATGAAGCTGGAAATGTTATGGTCACTCTTATCACCTGCAAAACAAAAGTAGCTCCAATAAAGCAAATTTCCATCCCGAAGCTTGAGTTGTGCGGCGCTGTTCTACTAGCGAAGTTGTTAAAGGAAGTCTCAGAAATTTTGAAGGTACCAAAGTCAAACTTACATGCATGGACGGACTCAACGATCGTTTTAGCTTGGCTGAGCAGTCATCCAAGTCGCTGGAAGACGTTCATAGCAAATCGAGTGTCAGAGATTTTAGCTATTTTAGACCGAGAACAGTGGTCACATGTGGTATCCTCTGATAACCCTGCAGATTGCGCTTCCCGTGGAGTCAACCCATCTGAATATGATACACTTCCTCTCTGGAAAAGTGGACCTGCATGGTTAAAAAACATAACCATAGAACACGACAGAACGGACATAAAGGACACGAACCTAGAAGAGAAAGAAAAGAAAGCTTACCATGTAACCAAAGAAGATGAATTTGAATTGTGGACCAAGTATTCGTCTTTACAAAAACTAATAAGAGTTATAGCTTATTGTAGGAGATTTGCATCAAAGGCAAAGAAATCTATTGAAGCAACGACGTTTCCGATATGGTTAACTAGCAAAGAACTTTCAGAAGCAATTCTAGTTAGCATAAGAGCGTGTCAAGCTGCTCATTTTGCACAAGAAATCAAAGATATCGAGACTACAGGTACAGTTAACAAGAAGAGCAAACTTACCACTTTGACTCCTTTTCTGGATCGTGAAGGCATTTTGAGAGTTGGTGGTCGTCTTGAGAGAGCTAACATCAGTGATAACAAAAAACACCCGATTGTTTTACCATCAAAATCTCACTTCACAGATCTTGTCATTGCCGATGCTCACCAACGAACCCTTCACGGAGGACCTCAATTGATGGTAAATTATCTACGATCGAAATATTGGATTCTTGATATAAAAAACCGCACAAAATTGTTTGTGCGCAAATGTGTCACATGTGTACGACATGCAGCACAATTTAGACATCAACTCATGGGACAGCTACCTCCAGCACGCATCACGCCGATACGCCCATTTTATCAGAGTGGAGTTGATTATGCTGGACCCATCCAGATCAGAGCTTCTAAAGGTAGAGGTTACCGAGCATACAAAGGCTACATTTGCCTATTTGTATGCATGGCCACAAGGGCTGTGCATCTAGAGGCTGTAACCGATCTCACTTCACAGGGATTTCTAGCAGCTTTTAAACGATTTGTTTCGAGACGTGGACATTGCGCAGATCTCTACAGCGATAATGGAACGAACTTTGTGGGCGCCGCTCGAGAGTTGAAGATCTTGGTGGCCCAAGAGCACTCAACCATGGCTAGAGAAATCGCAGAGAGTTTGGCCACAGCTGTCCACACACGGACAGAACCACGTGGCATTTTATCCCACCAAGAGCTCCTCATTTCGGTGGAATATGGGAGAGTGGAATAAAATCGACAAAACATCATCTGAAGCGAGTGATCGGCACAGCAACCCTTACCTATGAAGAAATATCTACGTTGTTATACCAGATTGAAGCGTGTCTCAACTCAAGGCCGTTATCACAGATCAGTACCAATTCACAAGATCCAACACCTCTCACACCAGGTCATTTCATCATCGGTGAACCTTTAGTACTTGTGCCCGGTAACAATTATGAAACGTCAACAATATCATCTTTAAAACGCTGGCAGCTAGCTCAACAAATGCTCCAGGTCTTTTGGCGTAGGTGGTCTAACGAATATTTAACTCAGTTTTTGCAACGGTACAAATGGGCAAATAAAACACCAGAGCCTAGAATTGGGGATGTAGTTTTAGTTAAAGAAGACAATCTTCCTCCTGCGAAGTGGTTAATGGGCATAATTACCGAAAAGCACAAAGGTTTGGACAACCTTACGAGAGTTGTTAGTATAAAATGTAGAGATACCATTATTAAAAGGCCTGTTGTGAAATTGTGTGTTTTGCCAGTGGCTGAATAGAGCTATTTTATTTTATATTATCATGTTTAAGTGATGAGTTTTGTTGTTTTCGTTTTGTTTAACCACTTTTGTGAACAAGTAAGTCAAGTTGTTAAGTTATCTTAGAACAATATTTTTGTATACCTATCCATTTATGAGGTTAAACTCTAACTATTGTTTTGTCATCTGGTCACCATGATTTAACCAATTTCAATTTCTTATAATGTTTTGTTTTGTTTTTTACCTAACTATACAGTCCACTCTTTCGTTGGTGGTTAATCATGGTGGGCGGAATTATGACCATTCCGGTCATGGTGGGCGGAATGTTTAATACCATAAAGTAATAAAAAGAAGAATTTGTCATGTCATCAACAGTGTCACGGGAGAATTGTTTTTTGGGAAACTAAATCAAAATAAAGGATATTTTATCATCAAATACATTGTTGGACTTTATTCAACAATAAAGTTCAATGATGCTTTAACAATCGACTATATTGTACACAAATGGAGTGCAAAGACCTAAAAACATATTTATGTAATGTAGTCTTCCGTTCCAGTTCAGTTTCTATCATTATGGGGTTTTGAAATTAGTCAAAACATTTATGAAATATTTACATTAGAAGATGTGATGAAAACCGCAAGATCTTGTAAGGTGGACGGCCACTTAGAGCGGTTTACTGTAACATTTGTAACTCAGAATCATTTATTAACATATTCAAGGTAAATAAATGTCTCTTATGGCCTGACAGTTTCACCTGTGTTCGATGTACCCAGTAAGTGAAATAGTTTTATTTATCCCAACTAATGTTATAAATGCGAAAGTAACTCTGTCTGTCTGTCTGTCTGTTACGCTTTCCCGCTTAAACCTCGCAACCGATTTTGATGAAATTTGGCATAGAGATAGTTTGAGTCCCGGGAAAGAACATAGGATAGTTTTTATCCCGGTTTTTGAAACAGGGACGCGCGCGATAAAGTTTTTCTGTGACAGACAAAATTCCACGCGGGCGAAGCCGCGGGCGGAAAGCTAGTTTTTTTATAAAGGTACACCAACAACAAAACACATAAGATATTCGCAATAACACTAAGATTAAAGTTTTAGTTTAAATATGTGTGCCAATTACATTAAGATTAAAAGTTATTATAATTGTAGTGTACAGTTGTACACTGAAGTTTTAGTAAAGTGGAAGTCGTTTAAGTAGGTACTTGAACTATCGCATTCAACTACTTTTTATGGCACAAAGAATACGAGAGACATGTTTTATGGCCGAATCAATTTTAAGAAAGTGAATGTTTTTCACTTTTAGATCCCACAAATTAATGGGAAGATATTCGTAAGGTTAAGTTAAGGTTAATTAACTAATCAATTTCACGTGTTGCTCTTTATATCTCTCCAAATAAGGGCAAAAAATATACCTTTCCAAATATTCATTTCAAACCGTGAGATAGATAGATAAAAACTTAATCAAGATTTATTGTTTCTTTTCTTGTGCCAATTAAATTATTCTTTCTTTCTTTCTTTCTTTGTTCTTTCTTTATCTATCTTCTCCACATAAAACAAGAGAAGAAAGAAATACATTAAACAGACGGCGAACTTTAATACGTTCTAATGCCCAAGTTAGTATCCACCTTAACGTTTAGTAGTCTATAAATACAGCATCGGCGTGATAAATCATGTTCGCGGTATTTTTGAGGATGAAGATGAGGTATGGGTATCGTGAGTTATGAATATTGCATCAATATATAAACAGTATCCCGAATTTCTGGTTATATCGTGTTGGTTTTACGCCACGAATTCGGAAAAGTGAAAAGTTTAAGAAAGTTTTAGCAATTTAAAAGCAATAAAATATGTTAGCAATTATTTAAAAATTTGCAATTTTAAACTAATACTATTAGATATGGAGTGTTTTAAAATTACAACTAGCCTAACGTGCTCTTTGTTGTCAGTTCTCTTTTCAATCAAATTCCGTCCTCTGCAGGGCAAATGCCTCCCCAAAGATTTTCACAACGCCCTTCATTGCTCACATTCAGGTGTTTCCCGTTACCTTCATCAGATCGTCGGTCCTTCGAGTGGGAGGCCTGCCTATATTAGGCTTACAAGTTCGTGGTAGCCATTCAAGACCTTTTGTGAGCTGTTGTACATTTTATTTTAAGCTAAGATGGAGGGAAGTCGAACCTTAACTTCGATCTCCTTCTGATTAATTTCGTTGCGAGTTCAATGACAGTTTTTCTCCCAAGACAAACTTGACCTTCACTGGTTGGGTTTTTACTGGCAGTCAAGCTGTAGATCCTGGCTACACAGAAGTTGCAGCGGTGAGAACGAGAGGTGAGAATAGTCCCGTTTAAGCTAAGATCGTTTAACTATTCGATGCCCTAAGTCAAAATTGTTAATCACTGTCGTTTGCATACTTACACACTTTCATTTGTAATTCCACGGAAAGTTGTAATGTCAAATCGAGTACATAATGAAGAACAATTATTAAATTTACTCCAACATAAACATAAACATGAACATTTGGCTGGATACGGAATATCACAGACTCGAAGTTTAAATCCTTTTGAAAACATAATATTATCAGCAGAACTAAGTTGCAAGATAAGTACTAACTTCTAAATTCTACTTACACTAACTTTAAGAAAATAAAGTTGAGTTTCGCTTAAGTTTTGAAATGATCTGGCAAGTCCAACAAAGGATTCCAAAAGTAGCTATTGCGTTGTCATTACATTTACAAGTATACATCGAAGTGTATACTCAGCCCATTTATTATACAGACTGCTTACAAGATTAAAAAGTTATCGTTCATCCATAAAGTACTTAGCAGTGTAGAGGTTACATAAAGATGTCGTGAGTTGACTGAGACTTCCCATCTTTCATCTTCACTGCTGCAACTCTTGTGTAACCATCAGGATCTATGGCTTGACCGCCAATAAAAACCCAACCAGTGAGGGCCAACTTTTTCTCGGGAGAAAGTAAGATGACATATTTCAATTAAAATAGAGAAATGCGAGTCTCAACGCAACATTTTTATATGCTTCAGCATTGCAGCCGAAACTTCAAGCTGTGAGTACTTAAACATATTATACATTACAAACAGATACTATCACGAACAAGTTAATTGTGAAAAGCGTGTATGTATAATTAAATATGTACTCTTATAAAAATTTCGCGTTGAAACTTGTGTTTCTCTATTTTAAATTACATTTACAGTGAACAATAAAACATTATGCCATTCTATTATCAAATAGTGGGTATGTATAACACCTTATATGAAACTAAACATCGTTTCCCCACGTTCTGAATCTCCGACATCTCTACCGAGGAAATCCATTACCTCTATCATGTTTGTTAAAGACATAATGCGCCTTAACCAACGAAGCGTGTAACCGTGAGTGCTTAAACAATCCTTCCACCAAATTACGGCTGGTATGTATGTCATTTTGCGTATAAACATCGAATTTACGATATACCCCGTCGTTTAGGAGTTATTAAACGCTCTGTCTGAATGCAAATACGTTTATGTATATCGGATGAGGGGATCCGCGTGAACGAGCTAGCGTAGAGAGATCAGCAAGTATTTTAGATAATACGCCTGAAAATATCAATTAGCTTATTATGAATAATAAAAGAAATAAGTCGGCAACAGTTGGCAAAATCTTAAACTGTGAAATCAAACCGAATTTTCTCTCGAAAAGTAGAGATATTCCCTATTTTTTGATCCAGAAAATATTGCCACAGTTCAAGAAAATACATCACATTTTGGAATCGATTGACGAATGATTACTTATCTCATTAACCAAACAGTCAGTTATTACGTGAACAATATAATTTGTACATCAGATTATTGTTATAAAATGGAACTATGTTAAAGCTATTTATTAACTGAAAATCACCGATAGCATTTTTTTTTATCCACAACGAGGAAGCTCTTGGCCTGTATCTCACCTGATGGTAAATGACGATCAGGCCGAAGGTGGAAGCGAGTTTCACCCGGAATCCTCAACCACGGAGGCACTGGCTATTTTACCTCTGACTACCGGAACATAATAATGCTGTTAACATTGTTGTTACGACGACAGACTTAGTTAAGATGGTGGTAGCTAGCCAGGCGGACTTAGAACAAGCCCTACCACCAACCAAACCGAACAGAAAAATCTGCCCCCACTGGGAATCGAACCCGGGACCTCTGCATCTGAAGCCTTGTGAAGTGGTCTTACCACTAGACCACAGAGGCGGTTGTTGTTTGATTATACTACTCGTAACTAAAAATGTGTTGTTTAACTGTTCTCTACAAGCTGTGACTACATACAGTCTTTTTATTAGACAACATAACAGGCTATGTATTGCTTTGCGAAGTGGCGTATAAAGTGCGTAGCTTACTTTAAGTAGGAATTAAGCACTTTTAGATAAAACGTTGGAATGGTTTGGAGACAAAGACATATAAAAGTTCATTTGACATTTTCATGCTTATCAAATTATGTAAATTGGAAATTTTAGGA